CAAACTGTTACAGATTAAAATGCTTTTGACACTATTCCCGCTGAACATTATAGTCAATCAGGCAATCATTAGACAATCATCAAACAAAGGCTCAATATGTCAATGACCTCCTATCATGATTGTAGGAGAGGGAAAGTGGTAACAGTGCTTTCTACACGTATGTGGTGAAATGATAATAGACCTGCAACAAGATTATTAGATGGATTTATACATTTTTGTTAAAGTGGAACTAAACTGTATCTGAGCACCACAAATTGAAAACGCTATTCAATTCATTTTTTTCAACAGCCAGAATGTTCCTTTTATTGAGAATTTTGGCATTGGTTCAGAAATTGATGCAAAGATCAAGGTAAAGCAATAATTGGCAGTAATACAGTCGAGAGCCATTACGTTAGGGTACAGAATACAGACGTAGAATCCACTTACAAAGCAGAGGTCATCACCGTGCACATACACCATAGAGTATATAAGATAGGGAAACGCAACCATGTCAAGTCCCAACCAAGCAAAGAACAATAGAAAGAAGGACTTTCTCATTGGGCCATCCACATCTGCCATACCCTATCAAATTTCCATGTACAATTCCTGTCAATGTAAATCAATGTATACATTGGAAGGACTTTGTTAATAGCTTTCTCCCAGGAAGCCACGGGGGAGATGCATTCCACTAAAAGTATACTTTCTTTCTTTCATAGTATGACAAGTATGAGATCAGCAGTTTAGTGTACTTTGGCCTCTGCTCGTCATTCTGAAAGCCGAGCAGTGCCAGTTCGGGGGAGACGGAAGGGTAACCTGAAGACAGAGGTTAACAATCTCAAGTACCCCCGCCCAAAACTGAGACAACTCCGAGCAACCCCAGAACATATGGAAGTATGTGCCACAATTTGCCAAGTACCAGAGGCAGTCTGGTGACCTTTAGGGTAGATCCTGTGCAAACTCTGAGTAGTATAGTACACCATGTGTAAGGATTTCATCTGAATAAGTGTAACTTTTTAAGTTTATCCCTACAGGAGCTCACCAACTTCAAGCTATCCTCAATGCCGTTCTCCCAGTCCTCCCTGTCCAGGGCAGGAATATCAGCCCTCCAGGTCACCCAAAGAGTGTCCATCTTGGGGACTCCACACTGAGCAATGCCAGGTAGAGGGAGGAGAGAGGTTTGGAGAGACATTCTAGGATGAGGAGGTCTTTAACCACTTGCCCTCCTGAGGATTTACCCCCCCTTAATGACCAGGCCTTTTTTTTTCTATCGGTGCTGCACTATTTCAACTGGTAATTGTGCGGTCATACAATGCTGTACCCAAATGAAATTTATGTCCTTTTTTCACACAAATAGAGCTTTCTTTTGGTGGTATTTGATCACCTGTGTGCTTTTTATTTTTCGTGCTATAAACAAAAAAAGACCGAAAAATTTCGAAAAAAAACAATATTTTTTACTTTTGGCTATAAAAAATATATTGTATATAAGAAACAAAAAGAGAGCAGACAGGCTTAGTGCATTACCTTAAAAAATAGATTTATTTATAAATTGTAAAATACTCACAAGAATCAGATCAAAATGAAAAGCATGTCGCAAGGGATGCAAAGTGGTTGTACCTCTTTCTCAGGGCTCCCACCTTCAGGGGTTCCTGGACCAATTTGCATCCCTTGCGACATGCTTTTCATTTTGATCTGATTTTATTTCTCTTGGGAATATTTTACAATTTATAAACAATTAAGTACTGTCTGTGATATTTTTTTTATTTGCACTAACATACAATTTTGAGGACAAGCTTTCGGGGAGTGTCCCCTTCTTCAAGGTTCAAGCAGTACTATACAATTCACAAAGTTTTAGCAGTTTTTAGCAGCAGCAGGCATCATCCTGGTATAACCACTCAAAGTCCAGTGATGTACCAGTATGTCGCTGTGTCCTTATTGGGTGTATATGCTATGTTCTTTTTTTTATGCAGCCTGTGGGCTGAATGAAAAAAAGAGAAGAAATCTCTGCCAGAAAAAGTGTGTTTTATACCCACCATTAGAATATACTGCCCTGCATCCACCCACTTCTAATGGTGGGCATAAATGAAATGTGACAAACAATATTATAAAATATATATACCGAAGCATAGGGGCCATCCACCCACTGGCCACCCCAGGCGCTTCGGCATATATGCTCTTTTTTAAATGCGGATGAAAAACCTCATCCAACAGCACTGCCCACACCTACTTATGTATATTCTGAGAGCAAGACCCTGTTGCTGTCAGAATAAACAAGTTGGTGCTGCAGCTGAATGATATTCCTGCAAAGAAAACAACTTTTTTATTGAAATATGTGCCAAAAAATATTATAAAATATATATGCCAAAGCATAGGGGCCATATGCTATGTTCTTTTTTTTTTATGCAGCCTGTGGGCTGAATGAAAAAAGAGAAGAAATCTCTGCCAGAAAAAGTGTGTTTTATACCCACCATTAGAATATACTGCCCTGCATCCACCCACTTCTAATGGTGGGCATAAATGAAATGTGACAAACAATATTATAAAATATATATACCGAAGCATAGGGGCCATCCACCCACTGGCCACCCCAGGCGCTTCGGCATATATGCTCTTTTTTAAATGCGGATGAAAAACCTCATCCAACAGCACTGCCCACACCTACTTATGTATATTCTGAGAGCAAGACCCTGTTGCTGTCAGAATAAACAAGTTGGTGCTGCAGCTGAATGATATTCCTGCAAAGAAAACAACTTTTTTATTGAAATATGTGCCAAAAAATATTATAAAATATATATGCCAAAGCATAGGGGCCATATGCTATGTTCTTTTTTTTTTATGCAGCCTGTGGGTTGAATGAAAAAAATAGAAGAAATCTCTGCCAGAAAAAGTGTGTTGTAAGCCCAGCATTAGAATATACTGCCCTGCATCCACCCACTTCTAATGGTGGGCACACATGAAATGTGCCAAAAAATATTATAAAATGTATATGCCGACGCATAGGGGCCATCCACCCGCTGGCCACCTCAGGCCCCCATGCTTCGGCATATATGATTTTTTTTAACTGCGGATGAAAAATCTCATCCAACAGCGCAGCCCACACTGATGTATATTCTGAAAGCAAGCTCCTGTTGCTGTCAGAATAAACAGGTTGGTGCTGTTTTATGTTTTTTTTTTTTTCCCTTTTTTTTATATTTTAACATGTCACCAAGTGATACTGCAGTGCTGGTATGTAAAAGACCACGATGTACTAGGCCGCTGGTGCTCACCAGTTCACCAAAAGGTAGAGCGGCACTAGTACTGGCACTCTGCTGCATATGAGAGTCATCACGCGTTGGTAACATCTCAGCATCCTGGGAATGGGGTTGGGTACACCTGATCTTAGCAGGTACCTCTTCTCCATCGTCTGAGCTATCTGTCAGGGTGCCACTGCAGTCTACAGTTTCATATTCTGAGGCTGATTGTGTCAGTGAGTCTTCCCCTTCGCTCTCACCGGACATGCTCAGAATCCTGAAGGCCTCTTCACTAGAGTACTTTTCCATTGACATTTTGGCCACTAAGTTTATAGGTACCCAGTGTGACTCATGGGGAAAAGAGCACCTGGCTCTCAGGGACTGCTTGAATCGCTACAAAAAAATGTACCGGCAAGCACAACAGAGATCAGGCCAGATTCTGCAAACACTGTGGTTTGTGTGTAACGTATCAAGTGACAGTAATCGACTGACACTGCACTTGCTGGGGGAGCAGGGGGGGTAAGCGTAGAGGCTAAACACAGGTACTGGCAATTTAAAACCAGATTTTAGTGTTATTCTAAAGAGGTTTTATTATGCATGTTTTGTTTACTTGGTGATCCTGCCAGTAATATTCTTCCTTTACTCACCACACTCTATATTTGAAAGAGCACTTTTGCCATCCTAGAACAGGACTACAGTACACCTCCCCCTCTTCACATCTCCATAACTGATAAGAGTGCAACAGAAGCAGAGAGCACAGGACGTTGTCTGTTCATAAGATTTCTGGTAGAATAAACCATTTTTTTTTTCCATTTATCAAGCAGATACATATAAAATCATACACTTTTCATTTGTGTCTTATAGGTCCACCTGAAGTTCACTATTAGCCTTGAGGAATTATATGTCTCATTTATTTATTACAGGTATAAACTGTATATAGCACCACAAAGTTACACATATATTGTTCATTCACATCAGTCCTTGCTCTCATGGAGCGTACAATCTAAGGTCCTTAACGCATATTCATACATACACATACTAGGGTTAATTTAGACAGGAGTCAATTCAACTACCAGCATGTCTTTGGAGTGTGGGAGGAAACCAGAGTACCCAGAGGAAACCCACACAGGTACAGGGAGAACATGCAAACTCCAGGCAGGTAGTGCCATGGTTGGGTTTCGAACCAACGACCCTAGTGCACTGCATTGCAGCATATATGGGTGAAATAAAACCAGACAGTATTATTATTGTGTATAAAAGCAAAAAATGGTGCAACGACAAGTTAACTCAGACATCTTGTCAGACATTTGTGATACTTGAGTTTTGTGAGCTCGAGGCGTCTATCACTCTGTAAACCTACATCATGCCATTAATAGAAGTGGCCTTCAGGAGTTTTATGTTTACTGAGTGTTTCAATATCTGCAGCTGTTGCCATGCTGAAATTGCATAACATCACATTTTCCTTATTTTTTATCTAATGTCTAGAAATAAACAGGCTACATTTATCTGTATTTATCAGAAATAAATGTCAAGAACAACAAAGCATGCTTTCTATAAGTCTGAATTTTGTGGTTTTAAACAACTATTTTATATATAATCATAGAAATAAATGTAAATATGTACACATCATACCTGGCCGATGTTCCTGGAAGCTGGAGAGCATTTAACCACCTCCCGCCCGCCATATAGTAATATGACGGACGCAAGGTGGTTCTCTTGTTCTCTCGTAATATGACGTCCTCCCATTCTCACCGCGCATGTGCGGCTCAGGGAGCGCGCAGCATGGCGATCGGCGGTGCGCTGTGTCCCTCGGACACAGCGGATCACCGATCACGGAAAGAGCCGAAGATGTGAGCTCGGTCATGTGATCAGCTGTGTCCAATCACAGCTGATCACATGTAAACAGGGAAATGCTGGTTATCGGCATTTCTCTCCTCTCGAGCTGTCAGTGTGCCCTGATGATCAGTGTAGCCCCAGCAGCGCCACCTGTCAGTGTCCATCAGTGCCTTGTGTCAGTGCTCATCAGTGCCTCGTGCCAGTGCCCATCAGTGCCACATCAATGCCACATATCAGTGCCTACCAGTGCATATCAATGCCACATATCAGTGCCCATCTTAGCTGCCTTTCAGTGTCACCCATCAGTGCCAGTCAGTGCCACCTATCAATGCCAATCAGTGCCACCTAGCAGTGATGCCAATCAGTGCCACCTTTCAGTGCCAGTCAGTGCCGCCTATCAGTGCACATCAGGGCCGCCTAACAGTGCCAGTCAGTGCCGCTTATCAGTGCCAGTCAGTGCTGCCTATCAGTGCCATGTATCAGTGCTGCCTTTCAGTGCCCATCAGTGATGCCTGTCTATGCCCATCAGTGCCACCTATCAGTGTCCATCACTGCAGCCTCATTAGCGCACATCAGTGAAGGAGAAAAATCACTTATTTACATTTTATAACAAAAACGAAGAAAACACGTTTTTTTTCAAAATGTTCAGTGGTTTTTGGTTTGTTTAAGAAAAAATAAAAAACCCAGAGGTGATTAAATAAAACCAAAATAAAGCTCTATCTGTCACAAAAAAATTATAAAAATATCATATGGGTACAGTGTTGCATGACCGCGCAATTGTCACTCAAAGTGCAACAGCGCTGAAAGGCCCTGTAGGCTTGTGGTTAAGTAGATACAGATGCCTTATTGCAGTCTGAACTCAGCTGCTCAGCACTGGTGCAGTGAGAGAATGCTTTGCATTTGCTGAATGAAGTCAAAGCATTCTCCGATTGGATGAGGTGGATTGATGATGTCATGTTCTCCACCTTGTCCAATCAGAGGTCACTTTTCATTTATTCAAAAGATGCAAAGCATTCTTTGAATGGTGTCCATGCTAAGTGGATGACCATGAGATCTGTATGTAGCATGGCAGCCGCACTGCACAGGACCCGGACGTGATTTCCAGCTTCCAGGAGGTTGGCCAGGTATGGTATATACATAGTTACATTGGTCCGAGCTGGAGTAATGTAACTATGAAAAAATATACCATACCTTGAATTCTACTTTAAGGAGATACTGCCACCTTGGCCGTGCAGGACAAGTTTAATTGTCTCTCCAAATAGTGCCCCTTCCTGACTACTCTATGTTCACCTTACCACCTCTCCCCCCCTGCCACTCCTTCCTCCTCCCCAGACGGTAACGATATCCAGGATGTCTGGGTATACAGGAGCATGTGCCTTCCTCTTCTGTGGCAGTGCTTGGGTCAAGAAGCCAATTACTAGGCCTGAGCACAGTCACATGATGGGGAAGTGATGCCATCCCCACATGGAAGAAAAATATATTTTTAATATATTTTAAAAATATTCTTTCCAAATATATTGACATATATTTGAAATACTACAATGTTGGCCATATTCAATATATTTCAAAATATATTCCAATAAATATATATGTTGAAATGCGTTTTTATTTCAAAATATATGAAAAATATTTTTAAATGTACATTTTCAAATATACTGTACGTCTTTAAAAATACAAATCTACATTTTTGGAATGCATTTACAAATATATGTTAAAATGACTTTTTTAATGTGTAAAAAAATCTGAAGAATTATTTAAAAAATATATATTTTTAAAAATAATTTTTCATATATTTTGTAGTATATTTTCAACATGCAGTATATATATATATATATATATATATATATATATTGAAATATAATTTTAAATATATTGAATATGGCCAAAATTTTAGTATTTACAAATATATGTCAATATTAGAGATGAGCGAATTATTCAAAAATTCGATTCGGCTGATTCGCCGAATTTGCGGGAGAAATTCGATTCGATGCAAATTTAACTTATTTAAAGGGTTTCTAGGCTTCAGAGAGCCTTTATATTAGTGCAGAACACTGTACCTTTAATTTAAATGCCCTTGGAGTCTGCTGGGGAAGAGAAATAATACTGTCAGTCAGTATGACATGCAGATGAGTGCCGTCGATCTTAGAATCACCGCACACTTCACTCATTTGGGCAGTCACTGGGCACGACGAAGAAGAAGAAGAAGAAGAAGAAGAAGAAGAATGAAAATGAAGAAATGAAAAGAAGAAGAAGAAGAATGAAAAGAAGAAGAAGAAGAATGAAAAGAAGAATGAAAAGAAGAAGAAGAAGAATGAAAAGAAGAAGAAGAAGAATGAAAAGAAGAAGAAGAATGAAAAGAAGAAGAAGAAGAATGAAAAGAAGAATGAAAAAGAAGAATAAGAATGAAAAGAAGAAGAAGAAGAATGAAAAGAAGATGAAAAGAAGAATGAAAAGAAAGAATGAAAAAGAAGAAGAAGAATGAAAAGAAGAATGAAAAGAAGAAGAAGAAGAAAAGAAGAAGAAGAAGAATGAAAAGAAGAAGAAGAAGAATGAAAAGAAAAGAAGAAGAAGAAGAATGAAAAGAAGAATGAGAAGAATGAAAAGAAGAATGAAAAGAAGAAGAAGAAGAATGAAAAGAAGAAGAAGAAGAATGAAAAGAAGAAAGAATGAAAAGAAGAAGAAGAAGAATGAAAAGAAGAAGAATGAAAAGAAGAATGAAAAGAAGAAGAAGATGATGAAAAGAAGAAGAAGAAAAGAAGAATGAAAAGAAGAAGAATGAAAAGAAAGAAGAAGAAATGAAAAGAAGAAGAAGAAAATGAAAAGAAGAATGAAAAGAAGAATGAAAATGAAAAGAAGAATGAAAAGAAGAAGAAAAAAGAAGAAGAAGAAAAAGAAGAAAAGAAGAATGAAAAGAAGAAAAAAGAGAATGAAGAAGAAGAAGAAGAATGAAAAGAAGAAATAGAATGAAAAGAAGAAGAATTCCAGTACAGCAAAAAGTGTATCTGCAGAGAGCTCCGCTATTTCTGACAGTTCTCTGACAGTTCTGACAGTTAATTTACAGCGGTTGAAACATTGTATCTATTTATTTCCGAATAAAAACATCTGTATCCTAAATGGAAACAAATAGATGCAATGTTTCAACCGCTGTAAATGAACTGTCAGAACTGTCAGAGAACTGTCAGAAATAGCGGAGCTCTCTGCAGTGACACTTTTGCCGGCTGATCGGGGAAAATTCGATTCGTGCATCCGAAGTTTGCTAAAATTCGGATTCGATGCGAATCGAATTTTTCCTAAAATTCGAAACGAATTCCACTTCGCCAAGTTCGATTCGCTCATCTCTAGTCAATATATTTGGGAGGAATATTTTTCTTCCATATGGGTCACTCCCCCATATTGCCAAAATCAGTCATTTCAGTGCTAGCTATAGAGGAGAAAAGGTTGTCAGAGAAGTACTGGTAAGGTTTATATAGAGGGGTTGAGCGAGGGAGCCTTTGTAGAGTCACTTACACTTTGCCTTGCATTGCCAAAAGTAAAAGTGTCTCTTTAAATTGTATTTAGAGAACCACATGAGCATACTGAGCAATTGTTTTACCATAATTCAGCAACTTTCAATTTAGAGCCATACCAAATGCAAGAAAGAAATCAATTGTTGCCGTCAAATACCTGCTGTCAAAAATTTTAAGACGTTGAGGCTGGTTTATTAAAGACAAATAGACTGTTCACTGTGCAAGGCATTTTGAACCAGAGTTTAGAGAATGAGAAGCTCTGCTGACTTCCATCTTCCAATCATGTGAATGGATTTTTAATGAATTTTTTTGTAATTCCTTGCATATAATTGGATGTTTTTTAAAAAGTTGAACTTCACCACATTCACTAAGCTCTGGGGCAAATTCCCTTACAAAGTGCAACATCCCTTGCAAAGTGAACAGCCTATTTGCCTTTAGTAAATCAACCACTTTGCTTTTACATTCTGTACCTGTGTGTCTTAGTTCTGTTTGCATGCTACAATGTACAGGATCTTAGAGCGTTAGAGAATTTGGCCTAATATCTGCAACTGCTATTCAGCTTCTCGAAACATCAGTGAAAGTGGAACCAAATGTTTCCACAATGTAAGCAACTAGAGATAGTGTATCAAAACCCACATTCTTTACCAAATTGGTTGTAAAACATGTCCGTGTAATTTCAAAAAGTCTAATACTTTATTGTAATATTTTCTGTTTTTAGTTAAATCATAAGTGTTGATCCACAGGCGCTACCTTTTTCATAGGGTAACATTGTTGTCAGTTTCCTACATATTCACAAATGTGACTACACTATCCTGCCACATCGTGTGTTAGCATGTTCTGCTATAGTCATTGCACTGGTCAGCCACTGCTGGAGCATACACATCATACAACGAGTCTACATCACTTGTGCCCATACGGTGGACTAGGTGTTGCATATGTGCAAGCAGGTTGAAATGCTGGGTAGTAAGGCAGCCGCTGTCCTGGCCAGGAGAGAACGGGTTGACCACTGTTCTGCACTTTCTAGTAGGCTCTGTCTCTCTCCATGTGCTGTTATAAAAGCAGGGAGGGCTCTGCCTAGATTGGTTTAGCCTGCTGCATAGGAGGAAAGACACAGCAAGCCAGCAAGATGTCATATCCAGCTGCTGCCTCTGTTGGAGAGTGCAACCAACCCAACTACTGCAGTCAATGTCTGCAATCTCTGACTATCTCTTCAATATCTGCAGTCCCTGATCATCTCATGTAGCATGTCTGCAGTCACTGATAATCTGCTATACCATGTCTACAGTCTCTGATCATCTCTTGTAGCATGTCTGCAGTCTCTGATCATCTCCTGTGGCATGTCTGCAATCTCTGACCATCTCCTGTAGCATGTCTGCAGTATCTGATTATCTCCTGATGCATGTCTGCATTATTTGATCATCTCCTGTAGAATGTCCTCAGCCCTTGTCATCTCCTGTAACATGTCTGCAGTCTCTGATCATCTTTTGTAGCATGTCTGCAGTCTCTGATCATCTCCTGTGGCATGTCTGCAATCTCTGACCATCTCCTGTAGCATGTCTGCAGTATCTGATTATCTCCTGAAGCATGTCTGCATTATTTGATCATCTCCTGTAGAATGTCCTCAGTCCCTTGTCATCTCCTGTAACATGTCTGCAGTCACTGAACATCTTTTGTAACATGTCTGCAGTCACTGAACATCTCTTGTAACATGTCTTCAGTCTCAGAACATCTCCGATTTCATGTCTGCAGTCTCTGATCATCTCCTGTGGCATGTCTGCAATCTCTGACCATCTCCTGTAGCATGTCTGCAGTATCTGATTATCTCCTGTAGCATGTCTGCATTATCTGATCATCTCCTGTAGAATGTCCTCAGTCCCTTGTCATCTCCTGTAACATGTCTGCAGTCACTGAACATCTCTTGTAACATGTCTGCAGTCTCAGAACATCTCCTATTTCATGTCTGCAGTCTCTGATCATCTCCTGTAGCCTATCTGCAGTCT